TTAGATCTTCTTGGAGTTAAAATTACTTCATTCCTTTTTTTCTGTTGGACCCATGTCTGGACATTGGAATTGCAACTAGATTCATCCTCTACCTTGCATTTTTCTCTAACCCAAGAGTTAAAGCTAAAGATTGTCTGTATGGAAGCCTTTGTTCGTTCATCATTTCTTTTTTGTGGAGGACTAATTAAGTTTAAATTGTAATTGTTGGTACCAATACTTGAGTATATTATTGGCTATATCTCAGATTAAGGACTGAATGCCTAATTAAAGTGATTAGATAAGATTACATATCTACAAACATTGTGTGAAGGCCCTTCCACATGCCTCAGTGGCACAGATGGCTATAATCCATTATGCCTATTGGTGGTTAAAAAGAAAACACTCCACTCATTTTTCAAGGGGAATAGATAATGCCCCTTCTGTGACTATCTTTAAGAAGAAACTAGATGCTTTCATGGACAGGCAAAAAGGTGGGGGGCAATGTTGACGTTAGGTACTAGACAGTAAGCAACTAGGATAGTCAAAAAAAAAAACAAAAAAAAATAAAAAAATAAAAAAATATTTAGCTTTAAGAGGGTTAGGCCTACCCTAAAATTAAGGAACGATTGACCTCAACATGTGATATCGAAATGGGCGAAATCGCCTCTTGATGTCACTAACTATCTTGACTCTTGCTCATTTCCATTGGGGAACAACCAATTCAGGCTTAATTCTGGCTAGTGGCTAGTTCTTTAGAGTTAATAATTTTGAGCATAGAGTAATGATGACCCAGTTGGACTCCCGTGGTTCAATTGGAATAATTGACCTCTGATGAAATGCAGGATTTTCTTTCATATTCAAGTTTCACTACCAAAGAGTGAGATTTGGTTGTGGCCTTTGTGAATACCAAATTAATGATAGATACAAATTAAATATACAAAAATTATAATCATATGGTATATTTTTTCTTTTCAGTGCTGGCTTGGTCATGTTTAAACAGTTTTGAATAGCATGGGATCTGAAATATTGGAATGCTGCACTTGCCAGTCTCCCTTTTCCTCCCCTAAACCTGCTCTGCCTGCTGTTAATAGAGAAATACATGATTTAAAATAATTTCACTTCATGAGTAGAGTACTGGACAGGGGTTTTATTGCAAGAAAGATTCAATTCTTTTTTAAATTCAAAAGATCCAGTCATTCAAATGCAATTTGGTTAAAATTAAACATGTTCAAATCTAGTTTAATCATTTTCTTCTGTGCAGCCTTCCCAGAACACAGGAAGAGTTGTATGTTTTCTGGGAAGTATATTTCCCACTGCTCATGAAAGGGTTTACTGCTAAATTCCCCAGTACTGAGTTTTTACACAATATTTCTCAAAATTGAATCATTTATATATATATACATATATATATTTTAATACCTTGTACTTGGCAGAATGTTTATATTGTTGGTGATCCTGAGAGATATGTATATATATCCATATGTATACATAGCGTGATAAAAAAAAAGGCCTACCATTTTCTATGGGAGAAACACATCTTCATAAATGCAAAAATAAAGATACATTAGCTATTGACATTGGACAGTTACAAGGTGTTGAAATGCATGTCTTTTTTTTTTCAGCACCCCTGCCTAATTCATGCAATGCCCATTTTGAGGTGAATCAAATGTGTTTATGAATGGATCATTCCACCTTAAGTGAGGAAATGATCTGTGCTTGACCATCTCAGAATTCAATTAAATTTGGCAAATGGTTGGATTATTTTGAGAATAGCCAACAGACAAAAAACTCAGGCCTGTGTTTTTAATGGACACTGAGAAAAGTGAGAGTTAATTTTGTCATGGGGGCACAACATGGCCCTCAACCTCCAGGTGCTAACTTCCTGACTACTTGTTTATTATGTCACCACCCTATTTTGATTGTAACTTTTCAGGGGATAGTTGAATGCAACTGATAATTCACAGAGAAGTTCATAAGTCTAAAGTGTTTTTTCAAATACCATAAGATGGTGCTGCATGCCAATAGAGGGTGCTATTGTTGATTGGAGTGCCCCCTATCTTTGTACTATGCCACTACACCAAAGAAAAACTTTACAGGCCCATGAGCCTCTCTGCTAAATATCAGTTGCATCTGAGAGCCCTTTAAAGAAAATATGGTCCTGAAAGCATCATCTCTGATGGACATCACCTGAAGAGCACATCTTTTACTAAGTACACTTTTCAGGTGTTGCATCTGATACACTTTATGTAAATGCATGGAAAATAGATAGATGGAAGATAGGTAGGTAGGTAGGCAGGTAGGTAGATAGGTAGCTGGTAGATAGTAGGTAGATAGTAGGTAGATAGTAGATAGATAGATAGTAGATAGATTGATAGTAGATAGGTAGGTAGGTAGGTAGGCAGGCAGGTAGGTAGGTAGGTAGATAGATAGGAATATACGAAAAAACGCCCACTGAAGAAATGCCCACGGAAATAATGCCCACAGACAAAACGCCCACAAGAAAAAATGCCCACGGAAAAAACGCCCATACCTGCAAAGTACGAAAAAATGCCCACGTGAATATTTTTCTGGTTTATATTACTTTTTTTTTTCTGTAGAAAAGCATCTCATTTATGGCATTGCCATAAAGAGCTGCGTTGATTTTGCAGAGTTCGTTTGATGGATGCCTCTGATGGCAAAGCGCACGAGCATCGTCATCCAAATGCATCATGGCTTGCGAGTANCTGGCACCAAAGTACTCTGTTTTGCACTTTTATGTTCCATGTTTCACCCACTATCTGATAGTATCACCTTGCCCCAAAATATTTTCATGAAATTGAACAAATTAGCCAGAAATATACCCATATATAAATAGTGATTCTTTTGCAAAAAATAGCCCCAGTGTGAGTGGAGATATTTAGGTGAAAAGTTGTGGGTCCTTTTTTAGTCATACCCTGAAAATCACCAAAAAGTGGTTGTCAGATATGGGGAATCAACGATTTCGTCAGTGAAGATGACCCTTTCTGCCAAGTGACAGAATAATTTATTTTTTTCAAGTTCAAGGCCTAAAAAAGCAAAAAGACACTCACAATGATATGTGACTAGGATACGGTGCTCATCCCGTTGCATTTGAGGGTTACCACGGACAAGGACCAAATCCCCAAGGCTGAAATTCCCTTGGTGGCATTTGTCATGTTGATTAGTCTGGATGTTCTTAGTATCACCCATATCATCAGTAGATTGAGTTCTCAAAATGCATAGGATGCATCCAGTCCCATCATCCACTGTCTCAAGAAATGAAACATTGAGAACACCATCAGGAAATCTGCAATTTAAAATGTAAAATTATCATAGTAACATTTCAAAACTGAAACACATGGTCCTTGGTCCACCTGCTAAAATAATGGCAATATGAATGAAGACATTGGGCTACGGTCAATTACAGGCTGTTATGTTTCTGTCACCCCTATTCTAGGCTCTAACTCCACACAACAAACCACACCATAATGATTGAATGATTGCTCAAAAACAATGAATTTCAACTATCGGAAAATCTTAGCTGTCACTTACAATTCCATGAAAGACAAAATAAACAAAGTCTGAGACTTTATTAGGCTTAGGGAGGTCAGCTACCCCTCACCCCCCCCCCCCCCCAAATTATTTTTAAAACATCTCAAGACTGCTGAAATCGCAATAACATCTTTTTTTTTTATTATGGAACATTTACTTAGCCTTCTATTAAACCATCTGCCTACCCAGCCATTGAATTGACAGCCTAGCTTTACTGTCTCTTGGCCTATATAATTGTTGTTTCAACGGTCCTATGCAAAGTTTTGTTTGATTGATTACAGTTGCAAGTAGTTCAAAGATATTGCCAAAAGATGGCACACAAGGCCTAAGCATTAACCCTTTGGCATTGGGGGAGGAGGCACTTTACCATCCCTACAGGTGGCTAAATAGACCCCCCCTGGATTTGCAAAATAGTTATTGGAATTAATAGTATATATATATATATATATATATATATATATAAATAAATGAGCTTGAGCTTTCCCAAGCCATGCTCTTGCTTCATTCCCTTCCAGGCTTGTGTCTACCATGCATTTCAGCCATGAGGCTGGTTGAGCTAATCGATCATTTAATTGTGGCACTGGCAGATGGACTTAAGCCGAGATTGCTTCTGGGGCATTAAGTACTACCTCTACTATTTACATCTACAGTTGTAGCACCTGATGGCAGAAACTCTCTGGATAAGGTTTGTGAGTCAGACCTGTGGCCTCAACCCCCTGCTGATGCAGACTGCCTGACAAATTTCTAGGATAGGATCCTTCGCTGTCCCTTCTCTTTTTAACTTCCTTAAGCCTTGCCCCATACCTGCAGGCTGTCTCTAATAATTCAGACTCTCATCTATAAGTTCTGCACTTCTGGGCCCAAAGGTTGGGTTGGAGTTAGAGCCTAGAATAGGGGTGACAGAAACATAACAGCCTGTAATTGACCGTAGCCCAATGTCTTCATTCATATTGCCATTATTTTAGCAGGTGGACCAAGGACCATGTGTTTCAGTTTTGAAATGTTACTATGATAATTTTACATTTTAAATTGCAGATTTCCTGATGGTGTTCTCAATGTTTCATTTCTTGAGACAGTGGATGATGGGACTGGATGCATCCTATGCATTTTGAGAACTCAATCTACTGATGATATGGGTGATACTAAGAACATCCAGACTAATCAACATGACAAATGCCACCAAGGGAATTTCAGCCTTGGGGATTTGGTCCTTGTCCGTGGTAACCCTCAAATGCAACGGGATGAGCACCGTATCCTAGTCACATATCATTGTGAGTGTCTTTTTGCTTTTTTAGGCCTTGAACTTGAAAAAAATAAATTATTCTGTCACTTGGCAGAAAGGGTCATCTTCACTGACGAAATCGTTGATTCCCCATATCTGACAACCACTTTTTGGTGATTTTCAGGGTATGACTAAAAAAGGACCCACAACTTTTCACCTAAATATCTCCACTCACACTGGGGCTATTTTTTGCAAAAGAATCACTATTTATATATGGGTATATTTCTGGCTAATTTGTTCAATTTCATGAAAATATTTTGGGGCAAGGTGATACTATCAGATAGTGGGTGAAACATGGAACATAAAAGTGCAAAACAGAGTACTTTGGTGCCAGATAGAAGAGACCTTCATGTAGCAGTGGATCAAAAATGGCTTATGATGATGAATACTATCAGCATTTACTGGGAAGAAGATAGATATTGAGAATGGACAAGAGTTCCTGTTGGTAGTGGAGTGGAGGAACACTCAAGTGCTGTTCTTCCAAGTGCTTGGCCCTCAAGACCATGTCAAACTTCTCTTCCATTTAAATTCATTCTTTGGCTAATGACAGATGGTTTTCATGAGCTTATTCCTAACAAGTAGCAGGTGAATCAATGAGTATTAAACCAAAGCATTTTTTCAAAGTTGATTCTGAATTTCCCCTGGTGCATGGAGGAGAACTAGACAAAAAGACAAGGACTAAAAGGCATGTCAAAGAAGACAAATGACTTTTAGTGTCTGCATCTAAGGGCACTTTTATTCATATCTTGGCAAATTTGGTTGGAATATGGAATGTTTTCCTTTATTTTATACCTGGTAACTTTTCCCTGAATCTTAAGATAAATTGCAAACTTGACCAGTACTTTCCATAAAGTCTGAGATAAGAAATCAACAAAAGTTGTTCCACTAAGGGATGGTAACACAGTGCTTTAGGAAAATTTTTGATTTTTTAATGAAGACAGACAGATGGTGCTGGACCAGACAGGTGACAAATGACGACTTTCAAATCAATGGAAATGATGTTTAATGTGACCTCCATGAGCTTCAGTGAGAGCTTAGAGCTGTGGCTTCCATTGTCATATTGTCTGGGGAAATGGCTTACCATGTCCTCTTTATAAATATTGGTTTAATTTAATTTGGCTAAATAACCAAAGTATTGGTTATCTAAAGAATTAGGGAAAAGTTAATTGGTATGAAAGAAAGCAAGACATTCTATATTCTGACCAAATTTGCCAAGATATGGCTATAGGATCCCTTTAATACAGGTGCTCAAAGTCATTAGTCTTCTTTACCATGCCTTTTAGTCCTTGCCTATCAAGTTCTCCTCCATATACCAAGGGAAATTCACAATTAACTTTGAAAAAACTTTCTGAATTAGTATTCATTGATTCATCTGCTATTCGTTGAGAATAAGCTCATGAAAACCATCTGCAAGAGACAACTATCCCAAACAATTTGTTTAAGTGGAAGAGGAGTTTGACATGGTCTTGGTGACTTGGAAAGATAGTGCTCAAGTGTTTCCTCCTGTTCCACTACTTACAGGAGCTCTTGTCCATTCTCAATGTCTAACTTCTTTCCAATAATTGTTGATAGTGGTGCTTTGCTGCAGCAAATTTGGATGAAATTTCAAGAATCAGTTGAAAATGTACTCTTGTATAAATAGGGAAAGTTTTGCAAAAATAGCTCTGGTGTGAGTGGAGGTATTTAGGTGAAAAGTTGTTGGTATTTTTCTTTGCCAAACCCTGTAAATCACCAGCAGGTTGACTGCCACAAGGCACACCAGTGCACCTCACTGAATAGGAAAATCAATAGGCCAGCATTTCCGTGGCAGTCAATGTGTTAAAGATCTTGTTGATGTTTGGGCTTCCCAAAGGCCTCAGGCACTCCATTGAAGTTATATAAGTTAGGTTTCACTTAAATCATTTTCATGAGATTCTGCTATGTTGCATTACCATGAATTAGAGTGAAAAATTAATTTTTGTATTCTAGTAGACCTTTCTGTAAGATGACCACAGAATGATGTATATTTATATAGGTTTGTGTGAAGGTGTTTTCATAGCATAGGTTCACTCAAAGCATGATATAATTTTCCTTTTCAGGTGTTATAGAAGACTCAAATATGGAATGGTTGTACTTACAAGAAAAGGCAGCAGCATACCAAGACAATATCCTAAACAAAGTTTTGACTGGCTTGTGATTGTTCCTCATATCACATTCAGTTTAAATAAAGCCCCAAAAAGATTTTGCACAATTTTCAATGTCTTTGAGAATTACTGTTGACACACAATTACACCAGCACTTTTCTTCACACTGTGCTAAGATGACCTCATGAATTAGCATTCTCATTTATTTATTATAAAAATAGGGCTTAGTCTGCTGTCAATCAATGTTCATATAATAAATTTCAATATCATTGCTGACAACTATTGTATAATGAGGGAAGTTCAAACTTGGGTAAAACTAAGACAAAGAAGAGATTTGCATATTCATTTACAACAGACTGTACCTGCTAATAGCACATCAACAATTGGTGCAAGAAGAAAAGTGTGATCAGTTTCTTACAAAGTCAATGCAATATAATGAGGACATTAAGGTCTGTCAAGCATAAAATTAAAATGACAATGCTCCTTAAGCCCTTGCCATCATGTGATGGCATACATCATCATGACAACTTCATTCTATTAAAAATTTATTTCAAATTTTACAATCCTGATAGAGGCATTGGGTTTTGTATAAGTTAGTTCAGCAGTTACTGTTTCCAATTTTTTTTATTTGTCCTTTAGAATAAGTTAGTGTATGGAAGACTTGGAAAACAGCAAATTTTCTGTGAAAAATACAATGTCAAGGGGTTTATGGCTGCTGTTAGTCCACATGACCTATAGTATATTTACAAGAATACATAAAGATGATCAGAGCATCCATTTGCACCAATTTGAAGCAAACTCTAAGTAAAAAAATTAAGACTATCAGCCATTGTGTGAAAAACTCATATCAGAATTGGCATTTACAGACAAGGAATCGTGTACTCCTTGATTTTTTTGTGCCACAGATTAAATTTGCCAGTATTGGGGGCAAAAGAAATTAAAGAAGTCTTGGTCTTGTGCCAAGATGATATGATTTGTGAATGGGAGTCATTAACCCTTTCCATGGTAGTGTTTCCATTTGGAGACACTATTTGAAATTCATTCAAAGCTTGTAGCAGCATGTGCAACAAAGATTTGAGGGGAAACATAAGCCCAATTGAAGAAATGGATTGTCATCCAATCTGGGATATGGCAAAGAACCAGTTGCATACAAGTTTTGGCCTGAGTTCAGTTCATCTCTGACCTCGCCTCTATGTAATTTGTCATGGAGAGGGTTAAGCATTATTTGAGCTGAGGCTGACCAAATTGGAGAGGCTTGAATACATGTGTTGTTGACAAGTAGGGGTGAAGACGGGTAAAAGTAAAAAAAAGAATGCAATTTTGCTTTACTATTTCTTTAGCAGGACATTTCTTGCTGTTTTCAGTATGTGTGAGAGATAGTCAAAATTTGGAACTGTCCTGCTGAATGTGGGGCAGTTGGTTGCCCTATTTGGCCCCAGAATTTGGTGGAAATGCAAACTACAAGGGTCAGTCAAATGAAAATGAGAAAATTGTGATATAAAATAATTCCCTATTGATGGACGTCCAATACTTTCAGTGTATGTTTGTGAAATTGCTTGTGATAATACAGCTGGAAATGAAAGGATGAAAGTTTTTAGTGTGTGTTAGGATAGATACAAGTAATTAATGAATAAACATTTTGTGCTACCTGCTGTTTCATAAGTGCTAATAGCACCCTCTATTGGCATGCAGCACCATCTTATGGTATTTGAAAAAACACTTTAGACTTATGAACTTCTCTGTGAATTATCAGTTGCATTCAACTATCCCCTGAAAAGTTACAATCAAAATAGGCTGGCCGTCATCGTGTTAAGCAACATGGCGCTCACAGTGCCTTGTGCGTCCAAGGAAGCCTAGGGTGCTGTAATTCAATTTCCAATTGCTATTGGTGTGTCACCCATCAAAATCCATTCTCAAATGAGTGCTGTTGACACCAACAGCTTTTTACCATGGGAGCGCACGTACTAGTGATGCCAACATTTCCAAAGCGAGCACGAGTGTTTGAAGGATGACTCGTGCCAAGGTCGGGTCAACAATGTCACCACAGAAATGATCACAAAGGTGGATGAACTCATACGGAGCAACAGAAATGTTTCACTGGATGAATTGACTGCAGATTTGGGAATCAGTCACAGCTCAATTCACACCATAATCTGCATCCAGCATAGCATAGCATCTACACACTGACAATGAAGTGTAGGAGGCTGTCACATGGCGGTTCAAACAGCAACCTCATAAATTTTATGAGGCTAGTATAGACAATATTGCAAAGTGTTGAAATCTGTGCCTCAACAATGGTGGGGAAAACTTTGAGAAATAATACACTCACTGCAAGAAAAATTATATAATAATTCTCGTTTTCATTTGACTGACCCAGGCATAATATCCTTATCAAATTGAGCCTCTTACTGGGTGAGGTGAGAGGAAGGTGCTGTTTTTTTTGCACTTATGAAACAGCAGGTAGCACAAAATGTTTATTCATTAATTACTTGTATCTATCCTAACACACACTAAAAACTTTCATCCTTTCATTTCCAGCTGTATTATCACAAGCAATTTCACAAACATAACTTGAATTTTATTTTTGCACTCACAATGTGACACTAACCCTCTTCCTCTTTGATGGGATGTTTAGGACTCTCTTCCCTGAACCATTTTTGAAATAATACATTTCATATGGATCCAGTCATCATTTCATTACTTGCTTATGGAAATATTCTATTATAGCTATACATGCTTGATATTGCTGAATCTGTAGAATCCTGTCCATCAAGCCTCTAATTCAGGGGTTGGGAATCTTTTTGGCTGTGTGAGTCATATTAACACACTGTGGACAGATCACAAGAACTTCCACGTTTTACCAGTGGCTGTTGAGGACAGAACATGGAGAACTACATTTTTGTGCATAATCTCACTGATGTGCAAGCTATTGCTCTCTAGTGCATTCCCTAATAGTACTTTTGTGAGAAATATGTGCTTTTTCAAGTAATGTGGTTATTTTTACAAATTGTAAAATATCTGGGATGGACAATCATGTTTTTCTACATGACCTGTCTGCATTGTGTTAAGATTGAGCAAAGTGCTGGTGAGTGAAACATTTTTAGAATAGAATTTTTCCTGAAGTTGGCAACAGACATGGCAATCTTTGATACAAGAGAAAAATAAGGAACAACCATGATTTTCAGCCATGACCCAATGTGGCTCACAAGCCTTTTTTGCTTGTGAGCCAGATTTGGCTCATGAGCCATAGATAACCAACCCCTGCTCGGATTGATGTGGGAGGTAATGCTGCATCTTGGATATAAAAAAAGCACATGAGTATGCTATAAAATAGGTAGTTTATTTATTGGAGTTCTTCTCTCTGTACCTGCCCAGATAGTCATATCACATCAGTGTAGTATTATGTGGCAAAGGAAGAGAAGATGAAAAAGAAGAAAAATGAGACACACTCTTGCACAAAACTGACGGCACACATCTTCAAATCTCTCCATCTCTATAAAATGTTGGGACCTGTGGAAGGAGTCAAGCACTCTTTATCAGTAATGACTGTTCCATTAGTCTCTTCAAGGACTCAATGGAATGAACAAGAAAAGATCTTGTCGTACCTGAGGCCGCTGATTGTATTTCTGAGCAGGAGAATCCCATTCATCATCAGAATCTTCCTCACCAGAACTTCCTTCCCCTTCATCTCCCACTTCTGAATCAAAAGATGAATTGGTGGTGATACTTGCCAAATGAAGAAAATTATAAACAGATCCAGATGTCAAAGTTAACCTGCAGTTGAGGAAGAAGGCAGATCCCCAGCTCTCTGTCGTGAGAGAGTGTTGTAGCAGGCATTGCATACTCTCAAAGGCTTATTACTCTGGCTGGGAAGAAGAAACTTCCGGTTTGAACATGGGCCACACACTACGGATCCACATTTGCGACAGTGATGCTGTAGGATGAGACAAGGGGATGAAAACAGTATATCATCAAAAAGGTTCCTACCCTCAAATGCCAGAGATTTTGACATTCACCCGGCGGTTGAAAGTGGTGAATTGAGTCTTTTTGCAATGCATGCAAATGGATGCTGCTGAGTCTGGAACCCAGACAGCAGCATGCTCTGCTGCAGGTTTCTTCCCACCTGTTGTACAAACAATATGATATGTGTAGATGCAGGTCAAATAGATTCAGATGGCAGATGATAATCATGCCATAAATGAATCTTAGGATGTACTTATAAATAAATTTTAAATGGGTTTATATGACGTCTCTACCTGTTTCAACTTTTACCACTCTCAATATGTATGGATAGCTAAGAAAATCATGGCAATGAAAATAATAAAGGTTGAGTTTTCTGAATCTGGAAGTTGAATGAACATTATGAATGTCAGTTCATTACAGCTGCCTGTCATGCTTGCAATGCCTTTGGTCTTTTTTCTATATCCATTGAATTTGGCTTCCTTCAAAAAATTCTTGAATTGTCAATTTTCTCAATTTGAGTCCTGTCAACATCTCCATATAGGGATATTTGATAGTGTTCCAAAGCATCTCACCTTTCACAAAGGACATGAAGCCTACCATTTCCACAAAAGTTAGAGTACTTCCATGTGATTGCTAACCAACACTGTGAAGCACATGGAGACTGAGAGCTGTTATGATGATGATAGGGCCACATAAAACCAACATTGGGGACCATTTGCCTACTTAAACAGAAAAACAAATCTTTCAATCACATATTTTCTGTTGCTATGTACAACAAATTTACAACCTTTACAGTAATACCATAATTAGCCCTCTCATGAGCTACCAACCTCTAAGGCCTAGCCTGCATTTAACCCTTATAGTGTCATACAGCTGATTTTTTGGCCACATCTACTACTTCCAAAAATGCTGTAGGCCAATTTTTATGGTATCTAACAAGAAGCCCAACTCTGTGAAAGAAAAAACCTAATAAAAAGCTGCGACCAAAAAATCTGCCTTTGGCATTTTTAGCAGGAGTACACATGACTGAAAAATTGGATTCAATCAGGAACTGACTTTTTTTTATGAGGTCTTCAATGCACTTAGAAATGTGAGCCATCCATTCCTGCTTCTCAGTGTCTGTAGCTGCATAGACGGCAAAGGATTTTGATGCTGTGCAAATGAGCCAGCCATTCTTCAAAGCTGTAGTAAAATGGACATAGGTGCTTTAAAGAAAAGCCAAATGAAGCTACTTGCAAAGACAGGAGTCAGCTAAGACTGATGACAGAACATACCACCTTCATCCTCCATTGGCCTGAGTTTTACCTCTTCAAGAGGAATGATATGCTGCTTTGTATACTGAAGATGGAGACAAAAAAAAGAAACACCTCAGTGCATCAAATGAACTCCTAGTTCAGTTGATGCTCAACAAAACAAACTCAAAGGGACAGGCTAAAAATTTTGTTATAAGGGAAATGACTGTAAAATGAACAATTCATTATACAGAACTACATCAAAATAATTATTAGCCTGTCCCTTTGCATTCATTTTATTGAGCATCAACTGTAAGACAGAAAAATTACTAAGCTAGAAATCAGGGTACAAATATTTTTATTACCTTTTTCTTTTGGATGAGTATATTTCCATATACCAGGATATCATTGAAAAGGAAGAACTGTCTTGCCTTAGGTTTCTTTCTACACATTTTTGTTAGTACACCTTCTCCAACAAGAACTCTTCCTGGTACTTGAAGTGGCTGAAAATAACATATAACTGATTGTCACAGAAACACTATCCTTGGACTTGCAAAAAATAGATTAACACATTTTGCATACTGCTCATACCATATGGTGTGTTCGGCACAGCCAGTCTCCACTGCCGTGCTTGGCAAGGAGACGTTGGCTGGGCGTTTAAAATCCTTGGCAGTCAATGTGTTAATTTGTGAATCAGTATTCTTCAAAAATACAATAAACAAGGCCTAAAAGAAAAAAAGAATGAAGTGAGCAAAGCTCAGTGTTGGGTGATTCCTGATTCAACTTGAATCTATATGACTTCTATGTTAAATACCTTTCATAAGTGTGGAGATGCATTCAAATCACTATTGACTTTGTGATAATCAAGATTCAATGGGGATATCCAGAGAAAACTCCATCTCCTCATCTTTGACCTCATATTTGTCTAAGGTTGAAGAATTGTTCAGATCTCATGTTTGCCTAATACATCATTTTTCAGGTATTTTAATATTTCCTTGTGTCAAACTATACATCGATTTGTAGCATTTGAAAAGCATAGCTAATGATGAATGCCTTACAAAATTTTTCTCTCTGAGTGTGTTCTCCTTTGACAACCTCCTATAGGATGCATTTGGAAATTCAATGGACACTCAGCAGGTAACAACAGCCAACTATTGGTTTTCATCCAGTAGTGGCTCAGCCTCCTCAGTGGTTGTTGAAGCTGAATCATAGGCCTGGGAACTTAGCTCTATGATTGGAGTTTTACTGTATCCATTTCATAGTTAAGTCCCCATGCTCACTTTCAGGTTAACCATTGACCATTAATGATGAGCCTGACAGTAAACATGGAGCCCTGACTGTGGGGCTCCATCAGCTCAACAGGCCAAGGTATTCCATCAGCAGCTATTACATCCCCATTAAGAAGCCATATTAATGCTCTCATGATAGTGAATAACTATTAGGTTGTTGCAAAAGTCCTGTCGGTATTGACAACTTTATTTTCTCAACTTTAGAGCTTTGCAACAAGCGAGGCCTAATCGACCACATATTCGCCATAGTTGCAGATGACCTTCGTCCATCTTCTGGGCAGGTCATGGATGCCTTCTCTGTAGAAGGACTTGGGCTTCGAGGCGAAGAAGTCTGCGAGGCCGGTTTCCATGGCCTGTCGATTGGTGAAGCTCCTCCCAGCCAGGTGATTTTTCAGCGATCGGAATAGATGATAGTCAGAAGGGGCAAGGTCCGGGGAGTACGGTGGGTGACAGATCACTTCCCAGCCGTACCCCTGTAGCGTGCTGCGGGTGACGTTCGCGACGTGTGGGCGCGCGTTATCGTGTTGGAAAAACACGTGGCCTGCCCAGTAAGGATCGGAGTCCAGTTTCGCTTTGAGATTTGCCAGCTGAGTGGTGTAAATGCGGGCAGTGACCGTTGAGTTCTCTGGAAGCAGCTCCCAGTACTCAACTCCTCGTTCGCTCCACCAGATGCACAGCAACAGCTTCTTCGGGTGCAGACTGCCTTTTGGCTGTACTGGAGGCTTGGAACCGGAGCGCAGCCAGTGGTGTTTCCTCTTGGGAGTATCGTAGAGGACCCACGACTCATCCCCAGTAATGAGGTGATCGAGCCAAGCATGTGTCCGGCGCTTCGTCAAGAGTTCGGTGGCACAGTCGACCCGCCTGTCCTTGTTCGCCTGTGTAAGGTCGTGGGGCACATAACGGCCGAGCATATTCACTAAGCCGAGCTTGTCCAGGCCACGGGATACGGTGGAATAGTGGCAGGAGAGACTGCTTGCCGATCCGCGTGTGGTCTGCTGGCTGTTGCTCTCCAGCTCTGCTTTCAGGGCATCAGAATCCAACTCCGTCGGGCGTCCGGACCGCGGTCTGTCTTCAACGTCGTAGTCTCCAGAAGAGAATTTGGCAAACCATCGTTCTACCGTGCGAAGACTTATGATGTCTCCGCCATAAACTGCGCACACTCGGCGATGAGCTTCCGTAGCTCCGACGCGAGAGTGGAAGTGGAAGAGAATGCAGTGACAGAGATGGATCTGCGTTGGCGTGAATTTCTCAGAGGCCATGAGAGATGATGGGATGAGTGAGATACAACAGACTGTCCTTATATACCCATACCTACCACCCACTCGCCAGGAATTGTCAAAGCCAGGAAGTCTTATTAGAACATGTTACATTCAACACCGACAGGACTTTTGCAACAACCTAATACTTGTGGACTTGAGTGGTTGAATGAGAAACTGGGCACAAAATGGAATTATGCTTGGGTTTATTATTACAGTGTTTTTCACTTGAGTTAGACATGTTTTCACTTGACTTCGACAACGGTGCATGGTGAGGGTGATATAGCGGATCGACGCAGAAACAAGGAGTTCCATTCTTAAGTGCAGATGTCGTGATGACATTGGCGACAACGATGATGATTAATTTCCTGCTGAAGAGAGGAAAATAAATATGAACCTTCCCAAATACACAATATATTGAAATGCTAATTTAATGTCGTGAAAAACTAGGCTTTCGTGTCACCCATTACTGTTTTCCTTAATATTTCAATAAAACAGGTGAAGATTTGGGCATCGTTCCTGGGTTCTGAAGTATCATTCCCCACGCCGAACTCAAGTAGGCCTATCTAACGTGGATCTGGGATTGTCCATCGAAGTCCGATCCAGTGTTTCTACATCGTTGAACCTATGGGAAATTGAAAACTTAGAGCCTAGTTTATTTAAATAGACTGCAAGGAAGGTCTCCGGTTGACAACATGGCTATGCATCCGGTTCATCGTATCCAGTACATAGTTATATGAAATATAGGTATATGAATAGGTATATATTTCATAGGCATATGAAAAAGCCTAAATATTCGAAGAAGAGAAAGATGTCGCTAGTCACCAGGGGCACCTGCGCCCTCGCCTCCTCTCTGAATACTCCTCGCATTGGTGTCTTAGTCAAGTGAAAAATTGTCTAACTGAGTTGAAAAAGCCTAAATATTCGAAGAAGATAAAGATGTCGCTAGTCACCAGGGGCACCTGCGCCCTCGCCTCCTCTCTGAATACTCCTCGCATTGGTGTCTTAATCAAGTGAAAAATTGTCTAACTGAGGTGAAAAACACTGTAGCTTCACATTTCTATTACTGCTTTTGGGTTCAGGGTTCCACCCTTTCCAACAATGAAGGCAGATCATGAAATTAATAATTAAAACCCCATTACAATTTGGTGTTAAGATTAAATACAAGATTCACCCATCACTGATATGCTTCAAGATCACACACTTATATGGAAAGCAAGTATGCCTAAATAATAATGCAAAAAAAGAATTAAAAAAAGAGGGGGAAATAATAAGCAACAGTAAAACCATGAAAAAAACCCAATGATGAACAATGACATTTTTCCATCAGAAGAAAAAAGAAAACCACTAATAGAGGAAAGGATATTACATATCCTTCTCCTGGGTCACATACACCCTGCACTGCTGACTGAGTTGCTCGTAGCTAATGTGGCACTCAAAACAAAAGAGAGTAAAAAAAAGTCTAGTTTCCCACCTGACCAGAACTGCCAAAGCAGCTCTCAACCATCTGGATGCGCCGAGCATTTGCCTCGCTATTCACTGTGAACAAAGAGGGAAAAATATGTCAAGCCAAAGAATTGTCTGCCCCAACCTATGTCTACATGTTACAAAAGCAGTAAAAAGGCATTGTTCCTTCACTGAGCCAGCCCATCAGCAATGTCCATCCAAATCTCCCTAACATGAATAACAAAATATTAGAAGTCCATTGATGACAAAGTCTCAATGTACCTACTTCAATCTTGGGTAGGAACGTAATGATCAAAGCATGACATACACTAAACCAATACAGATTTTAATTATTTAGTATTGGCTATGTAATACCTAGAAAAATTAAAATAATAGGCTTTCATGGTTCTTTAGGCACGGAAATCAAAATTTTATGAGAAGACATTAGGGCTCCTTGAGTCAGAAATCCATGAGCATAAAACATATCTAGGAGACCAGGGACAGGTCTTTGTGACTTTCGACATTGACGACATTGTGACTTTCAAATGTGTCAGTTAATCCTAGGAAAATATACAATGGTTCCATTGTATGATGAGGTCTGAGATAACACTTGAGTCTCAAGGCCTATTTTCAATCACATACCCCCCTTGCAATAATTTTACATGCAAGGGGTTAAAAAGTTCAACATGAACATATACAGAATATATTTATCAAAAAAGCCCCAAAAAATTAGGGTGTAAGAAAGTTCAGTGCTGGTATAGTATTTGCTTTACTGTTAGGTGTGATTTACATCCCGGGCAAGCCATCAAAAGCTTGCTTGCTCGGGAGATAAATCAAAATGAGTTGGCAAGGGGGGTTAACTTCAGAATCTGTTACCATGCCTTTGGCAGCAAATAAGTGTTAATATCATTCATATACAGGAAAACCTTGTTAATTCGATATCAGATAGTTTGAAGTATTGGATACTTCAAAGACATTTCCATTCCCCGTCCGAGAAGATAGCGATTTGTATGCTTTATAGTAAGGATAATTCAAAATACGGATACTATGAATTTCGAAGGCATTTTCTGGTCCCATGAGCTATAAACTCAGAAATGTGTCCATTTACTTTGAAGGGTCCTTTTCCCTACGACCTACAGATGACGGGTCTGAAACCTCGTACTCTTAAATGGCTGAAAGCCAGCTAATTGCCTTGGAAATTTCATTTTTCTATTCAGAATATTTCTAAATATAGACTAATGCCCCCTTTCACTAAATCTCCCCCTCTACCCTTACCTATATCATGCACACCTTGTACGACCTTCAGTCAAAAAACTTTTCATTATGACAGCACAGTCTCATTCTCCCTCTCTCTCTGTGTGTTCTGAGTGAAACGGGGGTGAATGTGCCATGGTGAACAAGAGGAAGTACAACAATTAAGTAGTTGACATAAGTTGGAAGTTATTTGTGAAGTGGACAAGAAAGTAAAATCGAAGACTGATATCACAAGAGAATTCGGCATACAACCCTATCCAAATTCCTTAAAAACCATGGCATCATTGAAAAGCTGGCAGAAGGTGGCCATGAAACCAACAAAAGGAAGAGAATATGCAGTGCAAAACATGTGGATTTAGTACAGGATTACAAAATAACAATGGCCAAACTGGATAATTTGAACCCGCTTATTTCGAAGTCTGTATTTTTTGGTCCCCTGGATTTTGAATTAATGAGGTTTTCCTGTATCTATAGGGATATATTGGTAATATATTTTTCATTCTCATGGCACGTTTTCCTATGCCCTTCCGGTCTAATGTTAACCATTCCAGTGAGGCTCATCATTGCACTAGCACAGCTTGTGGATCCCCATTATTTTCTCCCAGGTTCGTGTCAAAGGTCAAAGAGTGAGAAAGTCAACCTATTTTGGTCCATTATTCTCCAAAATAGGTTGACTTTCTCACTCTTTCAGCCCAACGAAGAAGGAATGCAGCTACCTTAGTATGTGTTTATGGTTAGTTCTTACGCGGTGCACTTAGGTTTAGTGAAAAGCCAAAAAAGCATATAGGGAAGGTAGAGCACACACTATACCAGCACCAAAAGTTATTTTTAGAATCTTCAATTGAGCCATGGTGGAACATAGATGATAAAGAATATGAGGTTACATTTGTTAGTTACTGACCTCACAGCTAGGCACATGTAAAAAAAATACCTCACTGCACATTCCATTGGCTAGAGAAAGCTTTCACATATGCTGCAAAGGTACACTCCTTGCAATGTGTGATGATGGCTGGGAGAGAAAAACACACTAGCAAATGCCATGGTCAAGATAACAAGACAGTTCCATAAGTACCATTATTAGTGATAACTTAAGATGTAGAATTGAAAGCCAGATAATCAGGTATTCAGCAGTCAAGGTTTAGGCTTCCAGTACGATTTACTCCCCTAAGGCCTTTCGTTTAGCCAAACAGTTCTAGGGATGTGAATTAGATTTTGAACTTTAACCTTGCAGTCGGTAAGACTGCAAGATCTTGAACAGGCCTATACACACTAAATTCACGTAGATCACAAGAGTATGCACCAGGGGTGTTCAACTCAATTTGGTGGATATGAAATGATTTGGTTCAGGTGAGTTTGGAGGCCTCACTGACAATCTTACACCACATACGTAAGATTGAATTGTAAGTGAGGTATAAGTTGTTTTAGGAAAATTGCAGCAATTTTTCTAAATCAACTGTTAAAGAGGCATTCATGGGCCAGAGAAAATGAACTTGCAGGTTGGATCCAGCCCACAGGCTGCTAGTTGGACTCCCCTGGTATACACAGTGGTCAAATGAGTATACACCCAAGTGATGTAATACCCTGCTAGTATTTTAGCTGCACAAATGTGAGGTAGCCTGCATAAGCATAACTTGAAAATTGAACTGGTCCCATGGCTTTAGAGCTGGAAAATAAATGACAGCAGTTCTGAGGAGTTGTATAAAATTGTCTAATTTTGAAGGAAATTAAGAAAAAAAAACTCATTTATAGTCAATTAAAATTAGGTCACTTGGTTGGCCCATCTCTAGATGAAAGACTCCTTTACTCAGTCATTCCTGATAAATATGCAAAAGGGTGAAAACATTTGAGCATGACACCTGAATCTCATCTACAGGGTACAACAACAAAAAAGAGACCCTCAAAACTTTTAAAAAAGAAATCTCTGCTGTTTCTAATTCTTTTCTGACAAAAACTTAAACCATGCAAAGGCTGACATGTTTTAAAAAAATTATATTTATTTCGAATTCCTTGTATTAAAGCCATGGCAAGAAATATTATCATAGGCTTTTCAGCCAGGGATTGCATGGCATTGAAGGTCATGAGCTTATGGTTTTAGCCATACCGATTCAAATGCAATATACTAGTTGCTACAATACCAAAGATTTTGACAATCACTAAGTGGCAAAATGGATATCATGCTTTTCTAGCAATACTTTCCCCTTCCATTGCTTAACCCTTCTCTTAATCTTTTTAGAGTGGAGTTTTAAACCATGTGCCACCCTCCCTGTACTGAATTTTATTTTCATGCACACACCAGGCTTGTGGATATTCAATGTATCCCATTTGCTGCTAGAATTTATGTTATGGAAATTAATGTTTTTCATAATCACAATGGCCAACTGAAGTGTTAGCCAAATTTAGATGCACAAATTATGTTACTAGGGGAAATTTTAGGGTCTAAAATATGCTCCAGCTCATAATATTCTTGAAAACATGTCACAATGCTAAGTGCAATGCTGCATTCCAGACACACATAACATAAAGACCATTATCTTTTCATGCCATTTCGTGTGGCAGCACAAGTGACATTGGAGTGAGGCATTCACCCTGTTGACAGTATCAAGAACCAGGGTTGGGAAGTGCCTGCCAGTCAAATGGAGTGGTACTAGTGGACACCATGACTGTTGAATGAGGGGGCAAGCAAGACAGGTTGTCATAATTGCTCTTATTTCTACACTCTCCTGCCACATAATGTGAAAAACTTGCACTGCTAAGAAGGAAAAGCTTTCAGCATTAGGTTAAAGTAGTCAGTAAGCTATTGAGTAAACTCAACAGCCACACTGAGGGAAAACACTGATTGACTATATTCAACACCTGCACTGAGAGTGTAGAATGCAACCATCGACATTAGGTGTCAGAAAGGATAGGATAGTTCCTGCTGTTCAGGTGGGCAGTTGCTGGGAAATAGCTGAGTATAATACAATAAAAGGGTTACAGCAGGTATGCAACTTGATGCAAAGTAGAGGTATTACATGAAAAACAGAGCATTTGAAAAAATGATGATGCTGGTGGTGATCACCATCCACAAAAATGGCACTACTGTACAGGGTGGCCATAAAGTCAAGCATCATAGGCATTTTACACGATTTGTTCAAAATGTTTTCCTTCAAATTCCACACACTTATGCAAATGCTTTATCCATATTCACAGATTCAAAATTAATAAAATAAATAAATAAAATAATAGGCCAGTTTGGGCAAGTTTCATTAAAGTTATCGGCTACCATTCGTTGTAACTAGTTTTCCTCACCACACAACAGGATTATATCCACTTTTTCTTAGTTTGAAAGAGACATTTCAGTGGTAAATTACCTGCAAAAAAAAAAAGTCAGTTACTACTGAATGATGCTTGACTTTATGGCCTATTGAATGATGTTTGACAATTCAAAGGTTGATAATAAGTTCGGTGGTGGTGTTAGAGTAATGGTAGTTTGAGGTTTGACTTTAGTGCAGGTAGGATATGACCAAGTGCACATGACACGTATAAGCTAGACATTTACAGGGAAAAGTCCCACCTTTTGGTTAACTCTCCTCCTACTTGAGCTAGTGGCCTAATCTTTAGAATATGGTAGTATTACAAATGCTGGGATCTTGGGGGTTTTGCAAATGTTGGAATGCTTACACAACCCAAATAGATTTTCATCTATTTGTAAATAAATTTTCATGACTCATACCTACACCATCTATGGTGATGAGGAATGAAGCAACAAAATAGTTTTGCTTTTGACTGATTTGATGAGACTAGATATGTAAAATATGCAAGCATAATGTCTCAGAAACAGAATGATGGAATTTCATGGAATCAACTGGGACAGAGGATTTGAGCCAAAAAGAAAAGTCCAACCCATTTGCAAACCCTTCTAGCAAGAAACCTCATGGCCCTGTCAGGGCCTACAAACCTGCCACTAGTGTACCTGACAGAGTCTACCAAGGACCTCACTTATCACCACATTATGAGTCAAAAATGTCAAGTATAAAAAGAAAACATGGCAAATAAAATATGCACAGACCATATGACTTTGGTGCACTTGGGCACTCTGATACTTCCAGGGCTTTCTACCCAAATTCCCAACACCAAAGCCCATAGCTCAGGCTCCAAAAAAAAAGGGCAAATGTGAGACTTAAAGTCCATTCACTTTGAGAAGAGCTTGTCGGCAAACCAGGTTGACAGCAGCCATTCCTCGGACCCATTAAGTTGTAAATTCATTAGGAGATTTCTGACAATTTTTCTTTTCACACCTGAATGGTGATCATAAACCACTTGTTGAGGTCTCATGTCAGACCTGTGAGAAAAATCAGAGTTGCCAGAAATGAAGAGAATGCTTCATGCAGGAAAATTCAATTTTATTGGTGCATGTTGCACCAATGTACCTGACAAGGTAACTTGAGAAATGTTAAGTAGAAAAAGTCCACGACCCCTACATTTCACATCCTCTCTCTTCTGTAGTACATGTCAGTGTAGAGACAAGAGAGAACATCTTTATTTGGCATCTCCATACTGTCACCCAACAGGGCAGGTGGAGAATGTGCTAATAGCATGCCCTCTTTTCCCTCAGTCACTCATTTATCATGACAACAATCAGCCTTTGAGAGATAAGAAACTAGCTCTTCTCAAAGTGAATGGACTTTACAATATCTTGTACTATATAAAATGTTTAAAGTAATGCTTACCCAGCTTGTCAACCATCTGGAAAAACACCAATTCCTATGTTGGGCTTTGCCACAATTCAACCTCAGTCTGTTGTCACAAACTACCATGTAGGCCCTAGCCAACAGGCCTATTCATGGGTCCAAACTTGTCTCTGTTGTCTTGCACAAAGCCTTTGTTTGTATGATGAGTCTAGGCTAGACCAATAATGCTATAATCCATGGGCCATATTACAAAAGCTTTTCCCTAAATCAAATCTGAAACATGAATGTATTCATATCATAAACAGCAAGGCCTGGGCTAATGTTAACCCATAGGAATGAAATACAAAATGGAGAAAGTCCTAGCATATGATAGACCTAACCCTAACGTTAGACAAGTAGGTCTGAAAATACATGCATCTAAACCAATTAGGCTTAAGCCAAGGCCAAAAAGACAAAAAAGTGCTATTACATTATGAGCCTCCCAGCCCTTCTGGATTATTATGTCCATGATATATTCAAGAATTACTTAGGTTGCCACCTTCAAATTCAACAAAATATGGGCAAATATTTGAAATATATCCGCAGTCACCTCAAGCCAAGGCGCCAATCGATACTATGAGTGTGATCTACTGCTTTTGACTAATGGAAAATAACGATATTAGCTGCTATTACGCTTTACTAAGTATAAAAATCTTAGATTTAAAATATGGACAAAACAGTGTCCATAATAGGACCAGTTTGCAGCATGGATATTGCATCTGAAATATGTGCTGTCCATACTAATTATGAACGAGTGGCAACCCTAAGATTTACCAAAATAGGCCAAATAAGTGAAAATGGGGCTTTGCATGTCAACTTCCATCACCGTCTTGCCTTTGCAGCTATTTCCGTATCAGGTATTGTTTACTCATGTAAATGTGTACTAGGCCCAGGACAACAAAATACTCCAGGGTTTTACCGTAGATTTCTTGACAAAGAAGTTCGCAATAGTTTCTCAAGAAACACCGACATAGTTTTTTTAGCTTACGAGGTATGGGATACCTGAGTTTTCTCGTCCGACAAAGGTATAGGGTTTTTCACTTGAGTCAGACAGCTGTGCATGGGATGTTCATATATGAGAGTCTGAATCAAGTGAAAAATTGTCTAACTCAAGTGAAAAACACTAGACCTGGTCTGGTCAGATCACAGAGACCATTGGTGACTGCACGCAACCATGTTGATTCCTCCGATTCGCATAAGAAATAGAGATGTCATCGGTGTGATTTTCTTTTTACATACAGTGAAAACTCGTTAACTCGAACTTTTAGGGACCGGGCAAATCGTTTCGAGTTATCCGAAGTTCGAGTTATC